ATCCTGTGATACCTTCCAGAGGTTAGATGAAGAAATGCTGCGTGAATGCAGATTTGCCTTCTGTATGCTATTTTGTCATTCCTTCAACCTCCAGCAAACACTTTAAACAGAAGGAAAGGAGGAAAGCAATGGTGGCATCCAAAATCAGGATGGGGCCAGACTTCCTCAAAGTGATATGGAAAGGGGGCTGGGAAGTGCTGGGTAGGGTCTGTGCCAACAGACCTAAGTGAGGAAAGGCACTCCTGCTTTCATGCCCAAATGTTGCATTTTCTAAACATCCTCTACTTCTAGAGCTCTGAAAACACAGAAGCACTTTGTACCACCCTGGCTCACAATGTCCCCCTCCTGTGCCTATAGTAACCCCGAGACCACAGTGGGCAAACACACCAAGGGCTGGATGTCAAGAGGAACACACCAGCAGAAATGCTGGCAGGCCATCAACAGTGGAACACCAAGGGAAATTTGGCTGAGGGCCATTACAGGAGAGCTCAGCCACCGAGGGACCTGACACCAGGGAAAACTGCCTTTCCACTCCATCCCCTTGTGGCTCCCCATCCACCTGCTGAGAGCTACTTCCACCACTCAATAAAACCTTGCACTAATCCTTCAAGCCCACATGTGATCTGATTTTTCTGGTACACTAGGGCAAGAACCCTGAGATAAAGTCTTCTCTCCTTGTGATAAGGCAGAGGGTGTAATTGAGCTGATTAACATAAGCCAGCTGTGGACTGCTAAGCTGAAAGAGCCTGTAAGATAAATCCACTGGGGCTTCAGAAGCTGTAAACATTCAACCCTAGATGCTGCCATGGCTTCAGAGCCCACGGTCCCCACAACTTGCCTGTCTGCATGCTCCCCTCTAGGGGTTTGAGATGCAAGGCACAGAAGAAGCGAGTCACACCCTATTACATGACCTGTGAGGGTGATAAAGGAACTCCTCCCCTTTCAAAAATGGCAGAGGAGGAAGGATACTCACACTCACACACATCTTCTAGCATGTTCTCTTTTCCCCTTATCTTGCTTTTTGCCACTAGGCTAGGATTTGATTCCAGCTTGATAAAGGCCAGCCCATGGTTTGCATCTGACCCATTGTTGAGGCTTCCAACTTCTGAGTGAAAAAGCTTCCAAATCTATTAACAGCTACAGCCAACTTTCACCCAGATGCCCAATCAAAGAATGCACAAAGGCAAAGTAGTTACCATTTAGATAGGCTTCTGAGATGCTTGATTTCAGGCAAGACATCTGCATGTCTCACTTCCCTTTTTATCCTATCAACGTCTATCTGTGGAGTGCCTTCTACATCCAGGGACTGTTTCTGTGCTACGCACATATTCATCATGCCATTCATTCGATTTCTAACTGAAGTCCCTTTTTCTTCTGCTTCCCAATTTCAGCTGTCATAGTCTGTCAAAATCACTATTTGCTCTGGTATTTATGGTGAAAGGAGTCATTACTAGTCATCATGAGACCATCTGTACAGTGTCATCAGGTAGTGACACGGCCTCTGTTCAAACTCTAAGATGTTCCATCTCGCAGGATGGATATTAATGCCACTAAATCCATCTTCAGCATTCCTGAATAAGAGCATTTGTAAGAGCTATTACATCTTTGCAATAGCGTGAAGAGAGAAGACAACGTATTATTATCAAGGACCGCACCTTACAATCAAATTACAATAGTGCAAGCCGAAAACAGATTACCTTTTCTCTATTTTTAATGTACTTTATATACTTTGACAGACAAGCCCTGTCCAGAGGGGATTACAATGGTCAGATATATAGTAAGATTTCACAGGGTTATGAGGATTTCCTGTGGGGTCCTGGCTAGATGTTAACCTTTTAACTTAAGGAAGTAATTTCCAAAAATGGTGGTACATCAGAACCATCAATGAGGCAGCCTTAAGAGGAATTTAATCATTTTTTTAATTAATCAAATATGTTTTGGTTTATTTGTATGTTCTAAAATGACCCATTGTTCATATCCGAAGTTAGACACCACTGATTTAAGCATTTGCCCAGCATATAAAAACCAATTCAAATTCTGCTGGCTTATAAAGTATTTGAAGTCAGAGGAGATTATTTCAAATCACTAGATGATGCAGGCAGGTCATAAATATAAGTGAGGTGGTTCAGTGGATTTGAGATTTGTTTGATGATTGATGCTTCATATTCTAATCCATTGTCACCAACATGATGTATTTTCCTATTAAACATGAAAGAATATTTGTCAAGTGCACAAGGAAACAGTTTTCAGAAATTTTCTTAAAACCCAAAGCTTCTTAATTCATCTCACATTCTCTCACTTCTGATAGACACATTAACTGACACAACAAAGTAGTGCAGGCTTGATGTGTTGTCACACTGAAATTTGGCTGTGGAACTGGGAGACAAGAGGGGTGGTTAGAGTTGTGGGGATGATAAGAAGCATGTCCCACATCAGTGGAGCAGCTTGTCTTCAGTTCCAGCCAACTGTGAGCAAGGAAACCCAGCATCACTAGACTTTTGGATATTTTTTTTAAATCACAAATCCAAATTTTTGTGAATCTTTTGATTGTTGAATATTAGCAACTATCTTACAGTTTAATAAAAAGCCCATGGGGGCCTGCATCTATGAGATGAACAAACCTATGTGGGCTGGATTTGACAGAGGACCTATGCGCTTGTGGTCTATTATTTTAAGTGGTATCATTCACCACCACAGTACTGTAGAAAAAGCAGGATATGCATGAAGAGGAGAAGGGCACTATTGTAAAGCCGGGAGGAAAGTTAGAAGGGTGAGCCCTGATCTACACATTGGTTGACTTCGTTAATTTGGTTAACACTGGTCCTATTTCCATTCAACAAAAAGTTACCCTTAGTTGTGATAGGATGACTACTTTCAAAAAGTTCTTTGGAAAATGGGGATTTGAGAAGGAAATGGTCTTCACAGCATCATGTGACCTAGAACTGTTCTCCTAGCTGCCAAGAGCTTATAGAAAAAAATGTAGATATTTAGAGTATCACAGAATAAAGTTGTTAAAAGTAGCTGTTTGATGTGCAGGAAGCTTCTTTGTCATTTCTTTGACTTATGCAAGTTTTATATAGTGAGTTCTAAAGAAAATTCCAATTAAACATACGTTTACATTAAGAAAAAGTTGATACTTTTAGTATCTGTTGGATAATTTTATTACCTTTTTATTAAATAGATTTGCAATTCTATGACATAAGCCATGGCTTTATATTTCTTGAACCCCTGACATCACATATTTGCACAGGCTCAGACATCTTGGGCAGGGCATGTTAGGCAGAGGCAGAGACAAACGTAACTTAATGAAGGGTAAGTTTGAGGGTCCTTCTCTTGCCTGACCTTTTCCAAAGCTCTATTAGCACTCCCAGGGAGACTGGAAGGAACCTGCTGCTCCAGCTATGCTGCTGTGACTTGAGAGTCTCTGGTGGCGTCCTCAGGCTGTGGGCGTCTCCGGAGGGCTGCCTGCACTATTCTAACACATCTAGCCCCCAGCGTCGACCTTATAAACCTTAGAAGCGTTGGAACAAAGACACTGCTTTGCCACAAACTAGGACACACCTAAAACCCCGGATCCACAGCTGTTTGTAGCCGATCCTCATACAAACATCCCCCATTGCCAACAGACACAGGTGGGAGGTAAACCAGGGACATCTGGATGAGAGGCGCACAATCTCAGGCTTGAAGCACTGCTGAAAAGAAATGACAGAAGATGTTACAGCTGTGGCACTGCTCACAAGAAATGGCAATGTAAAAAAAAAACACTTTTCTGTGTCATTAAAAAGTAATTCAAGTAGTTTTGATATACTATTTCTAAAACACACTGAATTTTACTTCCATTTGTTCTGCAGAAAATCATGTTGAAAAAATCATTGTCCTATGTGGAGATGATCCAAGAGGATGCAGCCAAAAAATATAGGAAAAGGTTATAGATGATGATGATAATGGTATATTATTGTCTTGATTTTGTGATGTCTTGAGTTTTGTTAACTTTGGAAGTGTTTATTCTATATTAATATCTGTGTTTATATCTATTATTATATTCATAATATGGTATTTTTAATGAGGATCCCCAAATTATATTTTTCCACACCCACACAACCTAAATCCATCTCTTTAAAGAGGGCTGGGACAGAGTCACGTCCCACAAGAAGAGGGAAATACATAAAAGCTGGTGGCATTATTCTGGAAATACTCAGAAAGCATTCAGAATACTGAGGTGGGGGTTTTGAGGTGTTATAAGCATGCAGGCTCCAGGACACTTACAAATATGAATGCATCATACAAAAGCTATTAAATACGTCTATTTGAAAGCATTTTGATTTGCTTTCAGGATGGACTACCCATCAGTTAGCTGGAACCCTGGCAGTCCTGATCATCCTTCTGCTACTGTGCTTTATTTCCTACCTTATCTTAGCAGTGAGGTGAGGTTTGCTTTTTCCACATTTGTCCATATTGATGTTTTTCATTTTTTTTGGCTTTTGTTTTGATTTCTTTTTTCTAAACACTAATTTTTTTTTCTAAACGTGTTCAAGATGATATCTGGTTTTAGTTATCTCTCAATCCCTCTGGATTACTTTTACATAGTCCTTGAGACAGCAATGATAAACATTGCTTATAGTAAATAATAGACGGCAAACTATTTTGGAGAGTGTGAACCAATAAAATTTCTGCTGCTAGGCCACTGACAAAAAATATGAGTACATTGCCATTCCCATCCAAGACAGAAAGAATTTCCCAGCCAAAACAGGAGCAAGTGTGTAAATCATGGCCAGAGAAAATAAGAGGGGTCTTCCTGGCCATAATGGAGTGGACATTAATCACATACAGTCATAGCATTTGTAACATAAATGTATTTCATTGACGCAGAGCTGTAAAAACAAAATGAGTTCTTCCATAAATATAAGATGAAGCGTGTTAACTGCAATTACAAAGATTACTAAGTTACTTATATGCAAATGTGGGAGCTCAAACACGTGAAGGATGACCCTGTCAGGTGCCACACCCACAGTTGAAAGTATATAAATGGTCCCTTCCAGGAGTGGCATCCAAACTCAGATCTTCTCAGTGTAACTCAGCTGAACTCACATCTCCCGTCAACATGTCCTACAACTGCTGCTCTGGAAACTTCTCCTCCCGCTCCTGTGGGGGCTACATGCGCTACCCAGGCTCCTCCTGTGGCTCTTCCTACCCCAGCAACCTGGTCTACAGCACTGACCTCTGCTCTCCCAGCACCTGCCAGCTGGGTTCCTCTCTCTACGGGGGCTGTCAGGAGCCCTGCTGCGAGCCCACCAGCTACCAGACATCCTGTGTGGAGTCCAGCCCCTGCCAGACCTCCTGCTACCGCCCGAGAACCTCTGTGCTCTTCAATCCCTGCCAGACGACTTACTCTGGGCCTCTAGGCTTTGGCTCCAGCAGCTGCCGCCCCCTGGGCTATGGATCTAGGAGCTGCTACTCAGTGGGCTGCGGATCCAGTGGCTTCAGATCCCTGGGTTATGGAGGCTGCGGCTTCCCTTCCCTGGGCTATGGATCTGGATTCTGCCGCCCAACCTACTTGGCTTCTAGGAGCTGCCAGTCTTCTTGTTACAGACCAACTTGTGGATCAGGCTTCTATTATTGATCATCTTGTTAAACTGCTAATTTTATTGGCCGATGCCATTAATGTCTCTACTCATAACCTTTATTGTCTTCATCTTGTACAGAAAGAATTAGCCTCTTATTCTCTAATTATCAAGTTCTCAATTTGTCTTTGGCCCCAGATACTGACTGGCAGGCTTCATCTGAAAACCTGTGTACTAACCCAAAATAATCTTGAAGTACACATTAAAGTTAGAATTTATATTATTTTATTTTTTCCACAATTGTGGAAAAAGTCAAATCATTTTAACGAAATAAATCTACTGGTCTGATATTCAGCTATGTTTGTGGTGGTTTTTTATTGCCAAGTTTTGGTTGTGACATATTTAGGGGATTATTATGAAACAACTGGTATATATATAGGAATAGGTTTGAAAACCATATGAAGTTTGGGATTCAAACAAACTTTTGGGGGTTCAGAGATTTTTGTTACTCAGACTACAGGTAGTAGATGTCTACTAAATACACAGGCTTTTGTTCATTAAAATCTCAGACTCGGGAATTAGCTTGGTTCCCTTATGAAATGTTGATTCTTGTGACAAGGCCAATAAGAATAAGGTAGAAAACTAGCTGACAGTTATATCAGGAATCTTCAGGGAACAAAAATAAAACTTAGATCTATATGGTTATAGACATACATACAAGCAAAATTGAATTGAAGACAAATCAAAATGATTTCAAGTAACTTTTTTAAAGTCACCCAGTATTTGTTGGCAATCACGATCAAATGTCTGTATCTTATTGATGAGAATTCAATATGATCCAATTATCTACACATGTGTAATAAGGGATACCTATTTTTCTTTTTCTGGTAAAATTCTGTTTTCTCTTGCAAAGTAGTTCCAGAAACAGGTAAATGTGAAAATAAATAAACATAAACCTATAAAAACTTTAGGTTCCTTTTTCAAGGAAAAGAAAGGAGAAGAAAAAAAGAGTTCAAACAATGTTAAATAACTGTTCCCATGCATTATTCCTTTAGACTGTAAAACAGCGGTTAGAGAAATAGGTCCATTATACATGTAAGTATCATTAAATGTAAAAATATGAGGACACAAAGATGATAAGGAATGCAGAAGGGAAAACTTATTCTATAATATCTTAAAGGAGCTGCAAATTTTTGACTTGCAAAGACAGAAAAATTGGCGGCTAGAAGTCTGGGAAGATTATATACAATAAGCAAAGCAGAAAAGGCTGAAAGTCTGTGCATTCAAGGAATGACTGGAAATGTAGCTCAGCCACAATGCACAGTGATTTCATGTGGTGTGGTAAAGACCGATATGGTCCTTCAAACTGCCAAAGCAGTCTTGAGATTGAGCACTTTCATTCCATTTTCTCTTCTAATCACTTATGCACTTTTTAAAAGAAATCTCCTATGCAATGATTAGGGATAAATTATTAAGTTCATACCTAAGGGTAAATAAGTTAAAATCAAATGCTCACAAATGAAAAAATATATATAACTAATGTCTTTTGTTTAGAAAATCTAGACAAGGAAAATACATGTGAAAATATTCAGAAATTACCAGGGCCAAAATCTAAGAAAGGTCTTGATAAATAAACAAACAGAAAGTCATAGAATTTGTGACTACTTTTATAATAGGAATGTGGTTAGATTCAAAAGAGAGGATGAAGTTCAGCTCCAAATCATTTCAGTATTTAGGTCACACGGAACTTTTTTCTACATAGGCTTAGGTCGCTTTCTTCATTCAGTCAATGTTAGGTGGCAAAGAGAACCATATCCATTCATCTCATCAAGTATTTTAGCATATAATTAATTTCCTTACATGTGTACAAGGAGGAAACCAATTATCCACTGTAAGAATTAATTAGGGTCATGAGATGTAGGGTTTCACCTTTGTGGATCTAAGAATCAAATTAAACATGGATGGAAAAAGCAAGCTTTTCATATCATCAAAAATGATTGTCTCATTCATATTTCAACACACATTTGCAGGTGCCTAGTTTTCTCATTTTATGTTTTCATTCTAATATTTTATAACCTAAGTATCAGAAAAAATAATAAAGTGGTAAGATAAATTGTCTATTGCTAAGATTTCAAGCTAATAGCATAAAGATATCTTTATATAGAGCTAAAAAAGGAGAGTTCAAAAAATTTCCCTGTTAATTTTTAGATCTAATCACAAGAAATGTGCATTTTATGAACTTACAGTGATTTTACACATAAGGAAATGAAGATTCAAAGTGGATCACGGATTCACTAGAGTTCCCGGTCTTATAAGAAAATCAAGAGTCGAGATTTCATGAAAGTTGGAGACTAATACAAGAAGCAAAAACACCCGTAGTGTAGTAATGATTAAAGAGAATTTTCAGAAGCTGAAATCAAATGAACAAAGCAGAGATGTATAAATGTACTCCTGTTCAGCAAATTATTAGGAATCAAGTTATAATTTGTATGACGTAGCAATGAGAAATCAGTCTGCAGATATATGATATGTACCTATTGTTTGAATTTTGAATGTCTTGAATTTTGGATCATATTAACTTAGAGTTCATCTTCTCTGATTCATACAGTATTAACATGTTTTTCTGATCAGTCATTCCTACTCTAATTCTTTACCCATCTAAATATTATCAAGAACTTTATAAAATAAAACTTTTGTCAAATGCTATGTAAAATAATCTATATTATATTCATTTATTTTGCATAAGCATATATTCATGTTGAACAATTTAATATAATACAAAACATGTACAAATACATAATAAATGATGAACTCTCTTGCACTTCCTGCTACATATTAGGAAGCAGAAGACCTGTAGTTGTTTTGAGCTCTGAAACATATTTATCACTTAGAAACACCTCTCTGGCCCAAAGACCCAGGTTTAGGTAGCATCAGGTGCAGGAAATGATTCTGCCTGTCTAAGTACAGATTTAAGCGGTCCTGTTAGTTTGACTAAATCTGGCAGACTCTACGGTATTGGGTGTATCTGTAATACAAAAAAAATGCAATGTGGAATTTACGGCAAGCTCCAGTGGGAGAATCATAATGTAGGCATATGAATGTGTATAGCCAGGCTTTAAAATCTTTAAAATCTTTAGTGGTGAATTAACACATCTATGGAAGGTCAGCTTTTGGGATATGACCAGGCCCTGGGAGAGATCCAGAACTTGGGCATGGGGTAGAAAGTGATCATCTTTACTTAGCTCACACCTGGCTATACTGGGAGACTGGAATGCAGCTGAAAGAGGAAGGAAAAATCTCAAGCTGCATTTGCAGACAGATGGATTCATTATGTGGATGCATTTAAACAGCATGGTGAGCAAAACATCACCTCTCTTGGCAGGACGTTAGGTTTAGTCCCTGGTTATCTACTTGGTATGAAAAGAAAAATGGCCGCATTTGATGATACTTCTAGTATTCCTGGATGATGAAAATTGAACTGATAAACCGGTTAGTGACCCTGGAAGGGAAAATATTAGAATATTGATACAAGAAAGTCTGGCGTAGACGTGTAGCTGGTCATATGTGAGTGGACACACAGTGTGAAGATCTTTGCATGGCTTCTTAGTGCTTACCAGAGTGCATCCACCAGGGAAGAAGAACAAAAATACCAAATAGACAAAGTGACTGTGCAAGGTGGTGATAGCCAGACTTTGTCACCATTCCACAGATCATGAGGCTGTAAGAAGGATATTTTATATTTTGGGAGAAAATTATGAAATGGGAAATGACTTTCAGATGCACAGAGCTCACTCCTAATCTGAGCAGTAAAAAGCCTGAGTCATTTTAGGATGCAGACTTTTCTTTAATTGTTTTCCTGGTTCATCTCTGTTTCTAGCAATTTCTCATGATGTGTTATCCTTTCTCATTCTGTTGGATGTGAGAAACACCATATAATAATATGTAATAGATGGAAAATAAATTTGGAGAATATAAATCAGCGGCGACAAGTAGAGTCAGTCATTAGAAGCATCCTTGCAAAAGCCAGAGCTGCACCACTGATTACTTGACACAGGAGAAAAATGACAGACAGAATCCCCAAAGTACAAGCAGAAACAAATGGAGTCATGGCCAGAGAGGAAAGGAGGGGCCTTTTCAGAACAGGAAAGGATGGGCATTATTAACAAATACAACTACATTTTCTGATGTAGAAATGTTCATTGGCTTTGTGCTGTAATAATAAATTCTAGCATCCATAAAAATAATAGAAAGCCAGGAAACTACAATTGTAAAAGAGATTAATGACTTACACATATGCAGGAGAGGGTGTATAAATGAGAGAGAATTAAACCTGTACTGTTCCATATCCATTGATACAAGTATATAAGTTGCTCAGTTCGCAAGATGGCCCTAAATCTGAGAATCTTCTCATTGTAATTCAGCCAAACTCACATCTCCCATCAACATTTTCTACAACTGCTTCTCTGAAAACTTCTGTGGCTCTTTCTACCTGAGCAATCTGGTCTACAATGCTGATATCTGCTCTCCCAGTACCTGCCAAATGGCCTTCTCTCTCTACAGGGGTTGTCGGGAGACCTGCTGGGAGACCATCAGCTGCCAGAAATCCTGCATGGTATCTAGCCCCTGCAAGATGTCCTGCTACCATCTGAAGAATTCTGTGCTCTGGGGCCCCTGACAAGTGACTTAACTTGCATCTCTGGGCTTTGGGTCCAGCAGCTGATGCTCCCAAGAGCTGTGGACCTAGGGGATGCTCTTCACTGGGCTGTAGACCTAGGGGCTGCTCTTCACTGGGCTATGGATCCAGTGGCTTCAGTTCCCTGGATTATGGAGGTTACGGCTTCTCTTCCTTGGGGTATGGATCCAGATTCTGCTGTCCAACGTATTTTCCTTCTAGGACCTTCCAGTATTCCTATTACAGACCAACCTACGAATGTGGCTTCTACTTCTGCCGATCAACTTGTTGAGTTCCAGTATGCTTTAAGCCGTTATCAAAATGTCTGCTCAGCATTTCATCATGTTCACTGTTTCCAGTAACAGCTATCTTCTTCATCTTTGATCACCAGTTTCTTGCCCAGTCACTTTCCATCAAGTGCAGGCTAAAAAAGGCTGAATCTTGCATTCTTAATGAAGTGACTTAAACCAATAGTAAGGGTAAATTCAGCACTGCTGATGGAACTTATGTTGATTTATATTCTGCCAAAATTAATAAAAGCTTAATCATTATAATTCAATAAATTATTTTATTCTTATATTCAAATACATTTTATGGTGTCATTTATAGGTTATTGATCAGAATTTGTTTTGAGTTTGATTTGGCAAGTTAAATAAAAGCTCAATATGCATTTGGGAGTAAA